ATTTCTAACTCAGCTTGTCCTTAACGTTTTACGGTGAAGCCGATGTACATAATTATTATTATTTAAAAACGGCTTTCAATTTGTAATTGCGCTCGTATTTCCCGTCGAAGAAGGAATTTACTCAGCGAACTCGAAGTGTCGCTGTGACTTACTGAGAGCAACAACAAGCGCCGAGGTATATCCAAGATCACCAGCCTTCATCTTCATCTTGCAGACGTTCTTGCTGTCTTTTCAATCCACTGCACTCCACGGGATATTACGTTAGAACCCCGGCTGTCGCCTCTTTGTACCCTTACTGCCTTTTGAAACTATCTAAAGAAAAGAAACCCACATGCATGTATATCTGTTCTGTAGCCGAACAGAAATATTTGCATGATTGCAAGCCAAGGAACTTCTACCTCGTAGACCCTCTACTATCAGAGATTCTTTACGTTTGATCTGAACTGGACGACGTACATGTACATGTGCCGTTATTCTAGAATGGTAATCGTGCCGGGGACCGAAAAGATCCAGTAGATTATGCCCAACAGTATCTTGCCAGTTGTCCTTTGGGGCGGTGTCAATGTATGTCATTACCGGTAGCTGTGCACAATTATGGCAGAGTGGTACATGTTTCTAGTACAACCGTTTCGCGCTGTCTCAACTATGCCCATACAGCGAAAATCCGTTCCGTTAAATTGAGTTGCAGCGGATGTTTACACAGCGGTGTATAACAAGAAGGTCACGGAATCGATCGAACGGACGCATCATATTGGCGAGTACTGGGGTGAAGGATGTAACATGTGGTGCTATAAATTATAGCAGGACTTGCTGTAGAAATTGTGTCTTGCACACGCAGATCTGCGCAACTGAAATCAACGCAATCTTCTCATTACGTTCGTTTTACAAATCTTGAAAGCTGTGATATCTGGAGTGTGCAGACGTCAACATTTAACGACAAATACCGGCCCGTGAATCCTGTTGGCAGAGATGAATATTATTCCCGTAGCTATGCAGAAGACGTTACTTCAGTAACGTCTGGCGCTAGCCAGGGTCCACACAGCTTTAATTCCCGTAGCTATGCAGAAGACGTTACTTCAGTAACGTCTGGCGCTAGCCAGAGTCCACACAGCTTTAATTTGGTGTTTGTTTGTTTGTTTGTTTGTTTGTTTGTTTGTTTGTTTGTTTGTGTCACGCCTGGCGCTATCCTGTATCTGTCCCGTACCGTACCGTACCAACAAAGACAGCTGGCCACAATATTTTTGTTTGTTTGTGCCATCGGCATGCCTGGCGCTATCCCGTACCTGTCCCGTACCATCAAGTGTACGGTACCATCAAGAGAATGAGTATATATGCGAAGTGTATCGGGGAATGCATTCAGTGCAGTACCATTTTGTGTGGATTTGTGTGCGAGGCCGAGATCCCACTAGCAGGCTGGCTGGGTCGCCTGTCGAACAGCCCGGGAATCGCATGTAGGCCGATAACATAATAATTATAACGTGTATACAGTCATGTAGATGTATAGCAGGGAGTCATATTATGTAAACGACTCCCTGCTGTATGGGGAGATTTTCTGGAAAGAAATACGAAGTAGGGAGACGAGTAAATGCAATTAGAATGGATGTTAGTTGCCGTCAGTATAATAAGAAGAAGAAGACGAACGCCCGTGGTCGGCAGAGTCAGCGCCGGTCCCAGGAAACGGCAGGACAGACATCCCGTCGACTCCAGAACTCCCGTGATCGGCAGAGTCAGCGCCGGTCCCATAGCTATGCAGAAGACGTTACTTCAGTAACTCATTGAAACGTTTTTGCAATACAATGAAGTAGGTAATCAAAGGAAAAAAACGTTTCCATCAGTTCTAACAACATGCACGATGAGCTAGGCAACAAAGCATAGCGCAGGGCCCTGAGCTTCCAAGCTCTCTCGTTTGGTGTTTGTTTGTGTGTTTGTTTGTGTCACGCCTGGCGCTATCCGTATCTGACGGCAAAAAAGCATAGGATGTTATAAATTTTTCAATTCTCCTTTTTTTTCAGGCATATCCTGGGATTCGAACCCGCACTATCGCCCTACATGCATTCCCCCATACACTTCGCATTCATACCCATTCTTCCAAGTTGCGTTACGTTATTATCTTGCGTTTGAAAGCCCTATTTGAATATTGCGGGAAGCTGTATGTGGCCAGCTGTGTTTGATGGTACGGTACGGTACGGGAGACGGTGTCGTATTACCCTCGATCGTACCTGTCCCGTCCCTATCCCCTACCGTACCGTGCCATCAAAGACGGCTGGCCACAATGCATATAACTCAAATAGGGCTTTCAAATGCAAGATCACAATGTGAAACAACTTGGAAGATTTAGTATGTATGCGAAGTGCATCGGGGGATGAATGCAGGGCGCGCGATAGTGCGGGTTCGAATCCCAGGTTATGTCTAAAAAAAAGGATTTTTTTAAAGAATTTATAACATCCCTAGGCTTTTTTTTTGTATAGGTCATCAAGGCAAAAAAGCATAGCGTAGGGCCCTGAGCTTCCAAGCTCTCTCGTTTGGTTAGTGTACCACTCATGCCAAATGAACATGAAGGTTTGAATCCCAAGTACTGTCCGTGGATGTTTCACAATAATTTAGCCCATAGCGGATCATGCTAAGCATTTTAGAAGATTCTGCTGCAAAAGCAGTGAAATTGTCTGAACTATTCAAACTCTCTGGCAGACACTTCCTTGAATTCTCCTCCATTCATTTCTTTGGCAACAAACCAAATATGCATGAAAATACCTGAAAGACACATTATTCTGCCAAATATTTTGCCAGCATGATCAGTGGCCCCAAGGGCTACTATCAAGAGTGCATAAACAAGAGTATGCAACTGTGGGTATGGGTCAGTGGGCGGCGCGCTGCCTTCATTACGTAGCTTGCCTTCATCACGCTCCGAAAGCATGAACTCAAACCCACTATTGTTGGTACAAGTCCATCCGTTTTAGCTCGATTCTTTCCAGTACCTACGCGATCTCCAAATTCTGGCGCGTGAACTCCAGTTCCGCACGATAGATCATTTCAAACCAGAGGGAAAGTGCGGTGTTTGATTCGCTGCAGGGCGCTGACTGCAGCTTAATGATGTGATGAAGGCAGCGCGCCGCGCATCTGGCCCATAGAAAAGAGATCACAATTTCATACTCTTGATTATGGACTCTTGCTACTATGATTTAAAAAAACATCCGAGCGTGTACGGATGCACTGAAAAACAGGTTTCAAGTGAATTAAAAGTCAAGGTTATCCTAACTCCGGCTTGCTATGATGAGGCAAGTTCAAGCATTATCAGCCAATGAAACGTTTAGTTTCATCATAGAATTGATTTTCCTATTCCCGTTGTGCACTCCAGTTTATCATGAAAAATTAGATTTCTGGCTAATCCTAGTCAGTGGTCTGTGCCAAGGGATAGAAGGTGACAAGTTGGCAGTTGAAGTCTAAAATGTTACACTTTTACCCTGGGGATTAAACAATCTTGATTGTGTGGTCTGGACATGAAGTGTTGATTGCGCCAAAGGTAAAGCTCCAGTCACGTTGCATCAACGATCGCAGAACAAATGTTGATTGCCCCAAAATAAGTTTATTGTTTTTTGACGGCCAGTAGCCACGGCTGATTTAGTTTGATAGAGTTAACAAAACAATTTGTTCTGAAGCGTTTGGTGTAGTGGTGGACTAGCCACTGCTGATTGTCTAGGACATGGCGAAGGGGCCATCGTTCCTGCACAGGTAGGAGTTCCAGCGTAATTTAGCAGAGTAGAGTGAAAGAATTAGTCAGGATGAGAACCAACAAAAAGAAGACATGGTTGGTAGAGCCAGATCCGTTGAGACCAACTGATGGACATGCTATCAGGGCTGAAAAAATGTTTCCGTGACCTGCTGGCGTATAGTTGTATCAAACTCCGGATGTAGCTCGTGGTTCTATCAGCGCCTGTAAATTGGCTATTTGCAATCACGATGTTTTGCGTTCCTGCATCAGAAACCTTTCTTGGATGAGGCAAGGTTGTCATGGTAGTATTTTTGTCCATGGCTCGTTCGTCAGCACTGTGCCTTGACTCATTTGAAGTCCAAGGTATTTGGTAAGTGGTGTAAAATATCGTTTCGACTGGTGTTTGAAATCAAGGGTACTGCACAATTGAGAAGCAACGCCATTATACCTAGTATACATGACACAGTGAAACTCACAAAGTGTCACCTTTTCTGTTGTATACAAGCCAAAGTGGTGCATCTTGTTTTCAGCATCTATTACACTTACCGCACATTTCTATCAAAATGGGAAAGGTTGACTTGCTCATATGTTTTTTGTTATTTTCATATGATCATAATTATGCTCTCTTAGATTATGCAGGAATCAACCGAATCCTACATGTACAAGGTGATAGATGACATGAACCATATGTTTCAGCAGAGCTTATGTCCTTACTAATTTCTGGTCTTTCACATTGCCGTGAATAGAGCCTCCGACATAAGCTGTAGTGGAACATTAAGTCAAACGTTCGAGCACGTAAATTATGGTCTTGCAACGCGCAGGCTTATATCACGCACTCTTAAGTTGCCTATGCTCAGAACTGCCTTTGCCCCTTATGGCGCTTCCTTCCATTGTGCTAAGCTGTGGAATCATTTTCACCCTTTAGCTCGAGGTGTGGATAACTGGGCCCGTTTCAAGAAACTGTTACCCCAATGCCTTGCTTTTTCACTCTCGTACATATGACTTCCAGCTATGCAAAATTTACGGAAAACTTGGGCGCCCCTCTTCTGTTGCCTCAACCATTGGTTCTTTCGCCGACACCAAACACCTATCCAATAATCTTTTAATTATTCTTATGTTTTTACATCTTTCCCTCGAGCGGGTCTACTGTTATTAGGCAATGTCCTGTTATAGTCTCCACTATAAATAAAAATTAATGCAATCCAATCCAAGTTCATTGACGAATTCCAATGCCATACGCTGAACATACATATCATACTTTGATGTCAATAGCATCGTGTGTGTATGTTAAGCCAAGATCACGTGAGATGGAGCACAATTGAACAAGACAGAAGGGTCATTGAAAGCTACCAGTAAGCCCATGACAATGATTGGCGGCTGCGATGGTGACCACTAGCCGCGAGAGCACAATTACATTACTGTTCTTATTTGAAAGTGAAATTTTCATAGAATAAAAAGAAAAGGGGAATATATAAAATTTAAAGGATAGGGAAAGTGTTGTAGAAAGATTTAAACACCGTGTCAAAAATCCTTTCGCGCTAGGCAGAAAGCAAACAGGTCATAGATAAACCCATTGAACCGAAAAGAACACAGGTCTGAAAAAAGCACACAAACAGGAGGCACCAGGAAAAGAGTAGCAGCTACAATTACCAAAATATACCGACTGCCTGCTCACCGAATAGGAAAGCATTATGCCCGCTGAAACAAGAGAAAAAGTTGCAAAAAACCAAGAGATCGCAAATGAAAAATTACATGACATGTAATGTATTTTTTTGGAATTTTTAATACATTTTATTAATTAATTTCATCAATCACATCAAAGAATACAACTGGTGCATGAAACTGAAATTTTGCATGGCCAAAAGCGGTTGGATGCCCCAACTGAAAACTGGTGCAAATGTGTAGCGACATTTGTTCGCAAAGCGATGGTGATGGCAATAAGACGTGTGATAACCTACATATGATCGAAAAGTGTATAGCCGGATTTAGCCAATATAATTTTGTGCATGGAGAACTTCTGGAATGGCATAGACCAAATTGATGAAATATCATAAATTTAATAATGGAGAATGGAATCGCACGCAAAAGATGCAGAAGGACTGGGAAGAAGGAAGAAGAGAATAGCACACGACAGACTAGCTCATAACGAAGTAGGAGAAGGTGATTATGGATTTGGCGAGCGTATAGCTAAACGTCACTGTGCCTGACTGGGAAAATCTGAAGAACTCGAACTGCATGTTCGCACCATGGAGTGCGTCCTATTGTACAGTGGAATACACTGCTGTGTCTTGTTGAACTGCAGACTGTGGTGTGTCGTATGCGTCATTGATAGTGAGTGGTTTGGTGTTACTCCCGGCTGTGTCCTTCATAATCTGCAAAGCATCATTTCGAGTGGTGCTTTGGGCTAACAGCAATTTCACTCTTCTGTATTGAACCAGCAGGACTGTAATTATCAGCACAAAGACGATCACCACTAGGCTGATAGAGATGGCGAAGGTCACAATAGAGACGCAATCACTGCTGGTTAACGCGTATGTAGCTTGAGTTTATTCAGTTAATTCGGTGATATCAGTGTCCATAGCAGAAACAAAGACAAACAAAGAAACACCAGAGACGAAACCTGGTGGCTTGCCCCGCATGCACGTTTCTTAAAGTACATACTATCGGCAGTGTGTCTACAGATGTGCCAATATAATCCTGCTTAATATTTTTATAACACAGTTCAAAATCTTTGCCTGACATGTTGATCACAAAGCACACTTGAAATGAACGTTATTGCCCGGCACTTATAGTCTACTTGAGTACAATCATGTAGCTCCGCCAAATTGAGGTTCGCAGGACAGGAACCAATTTTACTCCATATTGTCTCTATGAAAGTAAAATAGAATTCTGTATGTGTTGAATAGAGTGAGTAACGCACTCTGTAAACACGTCAGAAGCAAAATCCACATGTCATGAAAAATCCTAAACGTTCAACAGGACATCTCACTACCGGTATATTCATTGCGTTATAATTATCTGTATAATCTCCTCAATTTTATAGCCATTTCAACTTCAGAAATCACTCACCATCACATGCTGAACCAGCATATCCGGAAAGACAGGAACAAATGTAGGATCCGTTCAGATTCAGACATTGCCTGTTTTTATAATTGATCATGTTGTTGCAACTGTGCGTGCCTCTTGTACACTCGTCAATGTCTAAACACCCATTGAATAGATATACATTATCACACAAAACATATTTGCAGACAAACGAAGGCACACATTATACAGTGACACATGCACGCAAACATACATTCATATAAAATGGATATGCACAGGCAAAACACCAATCAAGTAGCAGCGAAGATGAAAATCCAATATCATCTACCTCTCGTTTCTGTCCTCAATGAAAATGGAAGTATTAAGTTTGAACAGCAAACCAGGAGCCAAGTTCACTCCCATTCGTAAAACAAAATTCGTACTATGAAGGACAAAAAGAAGGAGGCCAAAACGGTACGAGTGATGATAAACTGGTCACCAAACCTAACCAGATCATCTACAGTTGGCGAGTGCGACAAAATGGGACAAAAATGAATAGGAGTACTGTCCCTAAGTTAGCCATAACTCATACCATTTTCCTTCTTCCCTTTATTATACATAATAAATTTCGCTCGCTATCCGAGTCCAACTTGGAAGAACTGTTTTAGTTATGCGTGTGATCGAACAGTTCAATTATATAAATCACTCACCATCACATGCTGAACCAGCATATCCAGGAAGACAAGGACAGATGAAGGATCCTTTCTGATTCAGACATTGTCTGTTTTCATAATTAATCATGGTGTTGCAATTATGTGTGCCTCTTGTACACTCGTCAATGTCTCCATATCCATGAGTAGATCCAAATTGTTGAAAAATATATTCCAGTGCGTGTCCATCCACATGCAAAAACAGTAGGTTCATACAATGTCATACAAACACATACACCCACCCACACCCACACCCACACCCACACCCACACCCACACACGCACGCACCCACACTTATTAGGTATTCACTTCACTAATAATTGTTATTCTTTCTCATTTACTTGTAATGGTTTCGTAGCCGAGCAACTTCTGTGGGTACATATTTATATATTTTTGTAATTCTGAAACTAATTTTGGTGCATCCATCGAAGTATGACGCGCATGACCTTGAGTTCAGCTCAAAGGGCCCCACGGTGACACTCGTTTCTAAGACACTACAGAGAATGAAGATAAGGACCCGGTCCCACATGCAGTGGCGGATCCGCTGGTGCGACAAGGTTTTGCGGGAGTGGTGTCGCAAATCTCCTGCGACAAAATGCTCGCGTGGTCTCACATGCTCACGCGTGCACAGCGAACGAAGCGAGCGAGCCTCTCTGACTTCCGAAAAATTCAGTGCAGCTCTCCTGCATGCAACTCAAGCATGCTTTCACTCCGAAGTACGCGTGCACGTACTGTACTGATGCTGATGGTGTACAGTACTGTGTCTGTGGACAGAACTGTTTCGTCCTTTGTGGACACATCAACGCAGCACTGATGTACTGTTTATGTAGATACTAGGTGTTGGACAGATCGTTGTTTTGGTTGAGTATCATGCATTAGCTACATGTCGTGGGTTCTGTATTGTTGACTTTGAGTCTTTGTTCTGTATAATCTGAAAGAATGGATTTTCCGTTGGGTAGAGGTCGATTGGCGAGACGTTGTCGACAGGCAATGGAGACCGCAGCGACATTTTGTTGCTGAATACTAGTACGAACTTGTTGAGCAGCACGTCGACGATACCTGCTACAGATACTAGCATTGCTCTTGCCAGACCTACATATCAGTGGTCCCCCTGCTTGGTTTTACATGATGGCCATGCTTGGCTGCTCACGGGTCCTGGATTTGGTCTTTGGCCGACGCCGCAGCCGTCGGTTTCAGCTTCTCGGCTATCTACCTATCGCTCCGTATCTCTCTTCATCCCTTGGCCAAACGAGTCTTGACTTCAACATACATGTACAACTGACGCCGTAGCTGCTCTGACTAAAGTCAAACTGTCCACTTCATGATCGAAAATAAAATCGAACAACAAAAATCGCTCACTATGTCGGAGTGTCGCAGGAGCGGATCTTCCGCAGGAGAGTATACGCTCCAAAAATTTGGAGTAGCGGACTTGAACTTTCCGCCACGGCGGAAGTTCCGCTGCTCGCAGTTTCCTTGGTGATACACGCTGTTGCGACACCGCTGCAGCGGATCCGCAATTCTCAAGTGCATGTGGGACCGGGCCCTAATGTGGATTGTGTCGAATACAAAATCTGCACATACACAGCACATGCAGCATGCATAGTGTTTTTGGACATTATAATGCAAATGCACAGCAAAGTCCCAATAAAGCAGTAAGCAACCAAGTTAGAAATTAAAGTTCACTCACTGCTTGTTGATGTTGTTGGTATACGTAGGATTATGCAGTTTTAAAAGCGCCCATGACAGAAGTCATGTTCACTACGTCTTTACATGATCTACTTACTGCGTATGTTAGACATTACGTTATTAATGTGAATATGACCAGAGGATTAGAAGCAGAAATCGACGGTGAAAGGTTGTGCGTTGACATTCACCACCGTCATCGCCCTCTGTGGCCGACCAAATACATACACGCACTTGCCCACAGCAGTAACAAGAGGTTCCCTCGAACAGTGAATTTTTCCTCTGGTTGCTGTTGTGGACAAGTCAGTGTATGTATCCGGTGGGCCATAGAGCGACCTGGTGATGATGAATGTCAACGCAGAATGTGTATAAGAATTTGATAAGACATTATAACTTCGGAAATCGCTCACCATCACATTCTGAACCATCATATCCAGGAAGACAGGGACACATGTAGGAACCGTTCACATTCAGACATTGTCTGTTGTCATAATTGATCACGTTGCTGCAGTTGTGGGTGCCGCTTGTGCACTCGTCAATATCTGAATGATCATGAACCGATTATAATTTTTGCGCGCCCATACCGGTACACATGTATCCACGACAGGATAAAAAGCACATAATGCGTACTCAAATCCAGGCACATACATACACAAATCAAGGCACATACAAACACACTCACTCACCACACACACCCACACACACACACATACACACATACACACATACACACACACACACATACAAACACACACGATATAGGGCTCTACACATCGAGCAGCTGCATCCACACGATACAGGACCCACTATCAGAGAGCTACGATGCGGTTAGATCACACCTCTCGGAACTGGTAAAACCTACTGAACCCCGACAAAACGCAACTATTAATCGTCCACCGGAAGACAACCCCAGTGCCACCTACCTTCACTGTCATCTGTGGTAACTTCCCAGTATCCCCTTCCCAGTGTGTCCGTTACCTTGGAGTGCTAGTCGACCAGCACCTTGCCTTCAAAGAGCCTTCAAAAAGCATGTCTGGAAAGTTGTTGCTGACGTCAATCGTAAGCAGGGCGTATTCCGCAGAATACGACATCACATCACCACCCAGGCACAACGTTCCTTTTACCTAAGCATTATCCAATCCACCATGGAGTACGCCAGCAACTGCTACGTTCACACGATATCAGCAACCCTATACAACACACTCATTCGATGCTTCAAGCGTAGCCTCATGATACCATTTTGGTTACCCACCACGCCACCCTACAGTCACCATTTGTCACCGCCACAAAATCATTCCAGTCGCCATCCGTTATAACCTAAAAATATTTCGCCTTGTCTATAAATGTGTGCATGGCCGCCGCAGCCCTCTACTTGCGGAGTCTTTTGTACAGAGATCAAATAGCAACCATACCAATGCCTTGACCTGGGGACAGTCCGCCCTGGATTTAGCTTGCCTAGTGCTTCGTCACGGTGCAGTTTCTACAGTGTATGCTTTGCCCTACCTGGCTACTGACAGATGGATTTCGCTTCCAGCAGCATGCTTACCTCTGCATGTAGTACCTGCGTATCCATCCAAACATGGACAGTCGTATGACCCTACTGTGTTGACACACTTCCTGCTCCCTGGATTAGGCAATTTATGGCAGATATTTGTTACGTCGATACATTCGTTGATATCTGCAAGACCAGTTAAGCAATTGACATCCTGATCGGGAACGTAATTGAAGATAATTCTATTAATAGTAGAGGTAAGAGAGTTGATATTCGATATTTGAAGGTAGCTGGAAACTTGATCAGATTTTCGATTTGGCCAGAAATGGTTTGGATGTTAAGTATGCAGTGTCTTTAATGTGCCATGTAGTGATTCAAGGTTTGGCTTATTTTGCAAATCAAGTCTACCAAGTGTAAGATTCCGAAAGTGAGAGTGCAAAAAGTAAAAAAAAAAGTAAATTATCGTATCCGTTCCCGAAGGGAACTCACGACGGCCGTTAAAACCCGATAAACAGTGAGAGTGCAAGATACTGGTGAAACCAAGAAAAGTTACTTTTTCACCACAACAGGTTATATGATTTCCCTTCCAGCTAGCTACCTTGAGCGCTAGGGTCGTTGAACTTTCAATTGACCTTTACTGCGATTTATATCGCACTAATGTAGTTAGTGTGTGTTAGCATCCACTGATCACACTGACATGTTTGCATTTGCCACGCGAAACTGCGTCAGTGCTTTGCGCACTATACTCACACTTCCAGCGCGTATATTTGGGCGCGCTTACTCTGCCGTCGCACAACTGCTTTCTTTGAACTTTTGCGCTCACGCTGCCAGGGCATGGATTTTGGCGCGCTTAGCCTGAAGTCGCACAACTGTTTCCTTTGAACTGTCTCTTTCTTTCTTGCCATTAACTTCAATTCCAAGTCAAATAGGTGGTGACTTTTAGCTTGTGCCGGCATCAAATTGTCACCCTCCAGCCCATCTTATCCTCTTGCTAATGGTACTAAGGCACATTAAGCTAAATCGTCCCTAACTGGTCATTTGCTTCGCTAGTTGCTGGTCATCACGAGCCAGTTGCGGCTCTTCATGAGTCAGTTGTTTCCAATTGCATTGGCTTAGATTTACAACCCCACTGTGGCACAATGAGGGCTTATTACGGCTCTTGGCGAGCCAATTGCTGCCAGTGGCCTGGCATTGCTTCAGAAGTCTTTGAGCTTTGGCATTAAAAGACCAGTCACTCGAAGCAGCACACTATCTCGAAAGCAATTCCTTTGTTGTCTTGCGCTGTGCATGCGTGTTTGAAAGATATTGTGCTAACGGGCGTAAATTATAGTCAGTAAGGGCGCTAGCAATTGCATGTGTTTTTTTTACTTGCTTTCATATAGGATGCACAAGCAGTGGCACTTGTTACTTCGGCTGTATTGGCTACTTATTGAAGATATATTTTCTAGCAGCACTTATCTGCCCCCGCGAGTTGTGTTTCCAGGAAGCCGGCTCACTATAAATCGGTAAAAAAAGATTCATTCTCAGTTTACGCCGAGGATAAAAGTTCAAAGGTCCCTGTGCTCACGAGTTGTGGTATACCTGGCGCCTCTGAGCGCATTCACCACCTCGCTTGAGAAATAAGAAGTAAATCATTTTCTATTATCTAACAAAACAATGACATTCATTTGACCAAAGCCTTTATGCTTCACGTCGAAATTATACGTAATAATTGGTGCCAAGATTTCACCGAAGTACAGACACAATACAATGACCTTCCAATTTTGCCCTTTTGAGTTATGTTCAGTTATTTCGTGCAATACACTATACAATTGCATAACCCTACCCTGTGCAATGATCGCCAGTCCTTGATAATGAGTTTGCAAGACTCTGATTACTTGACAACCAACAATATGGGGAGAAACAGTTATCAGCAATCTCCTAGTTGAATTCTCCTTCATATACTCTCGCAGAATGCGGGAAGAAGCGCTAGTCAGGATTCCGTTTCCAGTATGCCAAGAGGGTGTCTGTAGATCAGGATATTGAAGTGTTTGAAGACTTCTATTATCGCGGCCATAATGCACTGATACGGAGCAAGATCCAAAGTAACCAAGCGAAATTGCCTTGAATACTACATCGCAAGGTGATGTAAACGTAAACGTCTTCTTGTAAAAGTTGCTACTACCAACGGACATAGAAACAGACTGGAGATCATTCTCGGGCAGGATCAGAATGCTTTCACCAGATGACTTTAAGATTCCATCTTCTGGCTGGCAGTTTCGCAATAAGCTGCCGTCTGATCCTGTAAGACAGAAACCTGCAGAAAAGGTGTTTGCAAAGGAACATGTCAGTGGCATTAATTGATGGTTATTCAAAATTCTAAAATTTCGTACTTTACTTAGAGCATCGATCAGCGTTACTAAGGATCTTTGTCTGGATATATACTTCTTTTCTCACTCACATGTCAGTACTGCACACATACTCTCACACACACACACACACACACACACACACACACACACACACACACACACACACACACACCTACTCACACTCTCTCTCTCACATACACACGCACACACTCATCACAGAATAACAACTGCGGGGGGACAGCCACAGCAAGTCTGGTTGCACTATTGTGTCCAGAACACAGACAGAAAACTGAAACGTCCAGTGAAAACAACACCTCATAGAGTGACAGCGTTGTGCGAGGTGAATCATACTGAAAAGCACAGCAATCGACAGAGCATCCGCATATTCCACGCCTCGCACAACTTATAACCTGTATTGTAGCAGCAATATTGAGAAATCTCTCCGAGAGAGAGAGAGAGAGTAACGCAGCACTCTCACTATCATGACCCGTGTGTGAAACTGTACAAAGCTCCTCATTGGGAGGGAGGGTGGGAAATCAGCTTGCAAAGCAAGAAAACAAAAGATGAGGGACTGCGGCGTACCAGTACGTCCAAAACTGTCGGACCTCGGTCCCAGACCTGTTCGTTCGAAAAGAACAACATTTCTTGTCTATTTCGTAAAACTCAGCCAACAAGAAATGAAAAATTCTTTTCTCACTCACACGTCAGTACTGCACACATACTCACACACACACACACACGCACAAACACACACACACACACACCTACACTCACACTCTCTCTCTCTCACATACACACACACACACACACACACACACACACACACACTCAAACACACTCATCACAGAATAACAACTGTGGGGGGACAGCCACAGCAAGGACGCTAAAGCATAGCAGTAGAGTCACACAGCTAGCACTTGAGACACCTGCAGCAGATTGGGCAGGGACTCCTGAATGTAAGCCTTCATAGCATCACTTCCCCATCCTCCCTGTCGCTGAATGAGCCTATCTGGTACTGCTGCTGCAGCAGCCGTGGATGAACCTCCCGACCTCAAACCGTGTAAACCGTATCCATCTGGGTTTACGCCGATACGCTTCAGAGCTTCACGCACTAACTCTCTTGCTCTGCTGTAGGATAGCGAGTGCTTGATGGCGGTCCTGCCCTTTACACGAGATATACGCCGGAACAGCTTGACATGACCTTGGTGCCCTCCTTTTTCAATCCGATGCTCCACTAGCGATACCGGGAACAGATCACTCTCCCATCGGCTGATGAACACCCAGCTACCTTGCCTCAGTTGGTCGTTCTTGCGAACTTGCAGGAAGACTCCCATATGTGATGACTTGATGGCTACCTCATCCACGAAGATGTTGGCCAAATCATCCCACCTCATCATACCGGCATAACCCAGTACTATGGGGGTTAGGGTCTACAGGTCTTGCAGTGATAAGCTTGACAGTTCCCGATGGAGGCGCTCCAGAAGTGGTTTTGATAATGGCAATTTTCTATCCTTCGGTCGAGCTAGAGAGCGCTTGGCTGCCTGCCTCACATTCTTCACCGTTAGAGCATGGGTCTGGGTATCCCTGGATATCATGTTTCTATGACAAGGCGCACACGGCTGAGACCAATGGGCTGACAGTTTTGGCATCTTGCATGATGTAGACCAGATAAATGGCTACATGAAATGGGTTTGCTGGCGGATGAGGCGCATTCTGACGCTCTGCCCATTTGCTCCATCTACAGAAAGCAGAGTCGTACTTCTTCACAGTTCTTGGTGCCCGACTCATATTCATAGTGGATGGCAGACATTGTTCCTGCGCCTTCATGTCCTCTGAGAGGTTGTCCTTGGCTGGTTCTGAACAGCGAATAGAATGGTTTCTGTCAATGCTTCCTAGCTGGCTATGTCAGTGCAGTCGACTCGTCAGCTTCCTTCTTCCCCCAGGGAGATGTCGTCGCTATACCTGGCGATCTTACACCACTCCTGCCATTCACTCGCACCCACAGCTTTCCACTGCTAGGCAGTTGCTCACGTGCTCAGAGCACAATCACCTCCCCACAGTTGGGACATCCTGCAGCAGGACCTCGCAGACACTGCATTCACGCATTCTCGCTCATCACCACATGCTCCACAAACAGACATCTTTCCGTCAGAGAAAAACTACAGCGGCTGAGGAATTTCAGCATCCCTCTTCTAACAAACACAGTTTGTCACTGTACAAATACGTAGTGCATACACGTCACAAGGACTCACACTGCCACCAAAGAAATTGTATGGACAAGTACCCTCCAGGAAGGTATCATGAGACTTTGGCAGGCTGATTGCCTCCTTAACGAATTCTGCCCACTTTGGGCCGCTACGCAACTTTGGCCACCATGGCGCCGATTGCCATTCTGGAACAACCAAAGTACCATGGCATTTTGACACGATCAACATATCTACCACACGCCCTATCAAGTACATTGGTGGTGCCAGCCAAACTCTTTCTCCGCTCCAATTCACAGTGAATGCATCAATACCCGAGCACCCTGGGTTTCACCAACTTGAGCAGAATCTACTCATTTGCTTTGTTCTGCTGCTTGCAAAGCAATCGATGCTGTGAGGGCCCCACATCGAATCAAGCCAATCGAACAATTTGGGATTTAACTGCCAGTCATCCATATCAGACAGCTTTGAAAGGTAATCGGCCAGCTCATTTTCTTCGCGAGGCACCCATCCTGCCAGCAACTGAATACCATGCACGGCGCACAGCTTGTGAATCTCCAGTGCTTCGCTCTGCAAATGAGATTTTGAACTGCCTACTTGTATAATGTGCACAGCTGCCTGGTTATTGCTTCTGTGAATGCAAACGCCACCTTCGATCTCTTTCGACAGCGAACTCAGAACCAACAAAATAGCTCGCAGCTCACGCCATGTGGAGCTTGCACTAGCCTGCACAATTTCTTTGGTCCATTCCCCTTTAGCTAATTCAGTTCCTTTTGATATAACTGAGAAACCTCCCCAGCCAGAGTCGCTCGCGTCGGAGCACGAGAGAACTGTCACCCTGGGTCTTTTTTCCAAAAAGGTTGACCGTGGAATTGACTAAACGAGCCAGACCAAAACTCCAGATCTTGAAGCGCCATTTGAGACCAGCTGAGTTTTGCATGCCACGACTCACGGTTCATAATCAGTGCATAAAATGACCTCGTTCTCAACCTGCACACGGGGCCCAATGCCAGCGACATAGATAGCAAATACCCTGTAAGCCTGGCCAATTGTCTGGCAGTTGTATATTCGACTTGTGACCGCTCTTCAGCTTTTCCACCCGTCCCTTAGTGACCCGTATGATCCCTTCCCTCATGTCGACTTCCATGCCAAGCATTTCTACCGTCTGTGAGGGCTCCCAGTGGCACTTATTTTCGTTTGGAACAAATCCGGCCTGAACTAGATCAGATTTCAATCTTTTCGCTACTGCCTGTGCACCCTCGACCCTAGAGTGCCCACCCTACCCGTCATCCATGTAAAGCTGGCATCTGATGCCGTCCCTCCGCCAGTGTCTTAGTAAGACACGGGTTACCTTCGTGAAAATGTACGGGGCAGTGGATAGACCGAAGGGCAGAACACGGAAAACGAACCACCTGCGATCACCCCCCTTCCCCACCCAGGAGAAACCTAAGTACTTCCAATATGCCTTCGCAATTTCTATATGATGGTACCCACTCTTCAAATCGAACGTTACCAACTAATTTCCCTGAAATACACATTTGCCACGACCTTCATGTCCTCGAGCTTGAACTTAAAGTTTTCCAAATGCTTGTTTACATACCTCAAGTCCACAATGAGTCGTAGCCTCTTGCCGTTGTTCACAACGCCTAACGGACTAGTGACTACAACACCCTCCCTTTTTACTTCTTGAATGCAACCCTGGTTCAGCAGACTTTCCACCGAGTCACAAACAAACTCGGCATTCTCGCATGCACTGCGGTGGTTTGCAAATTCTCTTGCACGCGGGACCTCTATGAAGGGCAGTGCGTATCCATGCAGTACTATGGTTTGAACAAACCTAGATGCCCCCATCAAGCGCCAAAATTGCATACATTTAGCTAAGCTACCTACTTGAACATCTTGAAGACCAACTTCACGCACATCCCACCCACCATCAGCCTCCATCAAATAAGAATCAACATCTCTTTCTTCATCGGAATGAATTGGTGCAACAACAGCAGGCTTATTTTCTAGCAGCGGGGACAGAGATGGTCTGGGTGCAGAATCTGACGAAGTGGTCAGCGCTGCCACAGCGGTGGCACACAGGCATGGGGGTCTAGGGGAACTGCTGGGGCAGGGGTTGCTGTGACGCCCGGCGTGAAGGGGATTGGGGAATTGCCCCAGCTCCTGGACGAGGTGGCTGGGGCACTGTCACGAAAGGGCTGCCTAACATTAACAGCGGGGGCTCTTTGCTTCGTGCTTTGAATCGCAGCGATTAGCTTTTTCGACTTTTCGGAGAACGACAGGATGTCGACCAGCTCACCCCCCTCTTGAAACCTGCTGGCCGCCTCTTGGCCATGCACATCCGCCACCACCAACCATTCTTGTCTAGCAGACAGCGACGACTCACCTCTTCTGAGTCTCTTCAGCCACCCTTCCGCTTCCGCAGGTCCCGCCTGGTCTTCTTGAGTTGTCGTTGCAGCTGCTCATTCAGGCCGTGCTGCAATTCATAAGACCTTGTATTCCACTTTCGCGCTGACATCGAGGTGGAGGATCTTCGCGACTTCTTCGATTTTTGAATTTTTTGTTTTTTCTTTTCATCCGACGAGTCAGACGAATCTGATGACGAGGACGATGAAGAAGATGATGACGAAGAAGATGAAGACGACGACGACACAGAAACATTACGGCGTTTACGCTTTGACGAGGACGACTCATTTCCCCGTTCCAGCTGTCCCTCGAGGAGCCTGATTCTCAGGGCGCTCTCTTTCTTTTCCGCCTCAAACTTCTCCCTCATTGCCTTGAGCTCCACGGTCAGCTGCGCTGCCGAGGGGGCCTTGAATTTTTTCCTTGGAGGTACCAGCTGCGCTGCCGAGGGGGCCTTGGATTTCCTTGGAGGCATAACGGAAAGGCAGGTAGATCTACGACTGAAGAAATCAAGGGAGTCCAGAAAAAAGGCAACAAGCTTGCAAAGCAAGAAAACAAAAGATGAGGGACTGCGGCGTACCAGTACGCCCAAAACTGTCGGACCTCGGTCCCAGACCTGTTCGTTCGAAAAGAACATTTCTTGTTTTTTTCGTAAAACTCAGCCAACAAGAAATGAAAACTTCTTCCATTTTCGCAAAAGATACCCGTATCCGGTTTTGGAGGGGACTAGTGGTCAGGAGGTACGTGTATTGAAGGACCATCTATGTCGAAGGCTTGATGGGCTCGTGTTCTATTCCCGAAAACCATTATTGGATGCAGAAGAAAGAGCACATCGACTTACTTTTAGCAACACACAAGGTGATTGTGTATCCAAGTATTCTGGCGATCATCTTCCTAGTGATGTTCTCTCAGTTCTAATTTTCCACACCTTCCACCAAAAGAAAGCCACGAATATCACTGGCTCCCCATACGTTGTTGCGCTATTTCTATGTTTTGCATTCCTTGTCAAAACGCTTCAAACCGTGAAGCGGACCACATTTAAGTACTTTGTTTTCTTTCGTGACCAGTCGCAATGCTTACAGCATGGACTACTAAATGCTTTCTTGCAAGACACTGTGTAAGCCCTGTGCAAAGGACTCCTCACGTCAAGGACTTGCGACAGAAGATTTGCGTGAAGTGTGGCTGCACACGTCTTCATGGCAGAAGCAACCATCTGCTTAATTGTTATGTCCCACACGCATGTAAGGGGAAGGGGTAATTGTCTTTACTTTTTCCTGCATCTGTTTCCTTAACAATTCATAATGAGGGTTGTGTTTGACGCATTATGACAATCATAATACTAAAAAGTTCCCAGAACGGGGCCATGCCATTGGCTATTGCACTGTCATTTTGTATCCTGTACTCTCCTTGCCAATATACATGAGAAATCACCAGCCTGTACTAGCTCCGATCACAGGCGAGGTGTTTTTATCGGAATCAACAAACACCGCGAACGACGCCCGCGCTGATGTCCTAGCTCGTGGGTTCTGGACCCGGGCTCAGAATGCGTTCTTCGATGTCCGGGTCTTCCACCCGCACGCAGTATCATACAAGAGCAAGCCCGTCAGTGATCTTCTGAAGAAACATGAGCGCGCAAGAAGAGTGAGTATGCCGAGCGTATCAATAATGTCGACTGTGGTTCATTTACCCCTCTTGTCTTTACCACGGCGGGTTGTTGTGCTCCGGAGTGTACTACATTCATTAAGCGTATGTGTGGATTGCTGGCGACTGCCGATCCACCGTATGCCCAGCTAATGGCCTATGTGTGGTGTCGCTTGTTCTCCGCTTTGCTCAGGGCAGGGATAATGTGCATTCGCGGTGCACGTTCGGCCTACCCTCGTCCAGTTAATGCGATGAGGGAGATGGCCATTGTGGAAAGCGGCTTCTAAGCATGTGATTGAGGGGTGTCTGCATGTCGATCAGTTAGCGGAGTTCCATCACTGACACAGTGTGCGGTTATTGCACTATGAATTGGTTGTGTAGATAGTTTCGTGTTCGATATTGTTTTAATTTTAATTTTTACATCTTAATTTTTTTCGTGTTCAATATTGAATTGAAAAATATTGTGGTAAAGACACACCTGGCAATATGGCGGTAAACACACGCCTGCCCACACAAGCTCTCTAAGCTGAAAAGTTCTGGCACAGAGCTCTCCTTCTCACCACCACCACCATCAGTTCGCGCCTGGCGCCTGGTCGATGCATGGCTGGTGGTATCCGGCATAGCAGGCTGGTACATCAAGTAGCGCATGGCACATAGATGTTGACATGCATGGATCGACCAGGCGCCAGGCGCTAGCTGATGGTGGTGGTGGTGAGAAGGAGAGCTCTGTGCCAGAACTTTGCAGCATAGAGAGCGTGTGTGGGCAGGCGTGTGTTTACCGCCATATTGCCAGGTGTTTCTTTACCACCATTTTATCAACCATAAGTACAGCTGCAGTGGTGTCTTCAACTTCATTCGCCCGAGTCAAGCTCCGTATGAAGACATCCAAGAAGAAGATTGCCTGATGAGTCCAGCGGGGACGAAACGTACGTCGCAATCGAGCTATGTCGTTTCTGTGTCATCATCTATGTGCCATGCGCTACTTGATGTACTAGCCTGCTAAGCCGGATACCGCCAGCCATGCATTGACCAGGCGCAAGGCGCGAACTGATGGTGGTGGTGGTGAGAAGGAGAGCTCTGTGCCAGAACTTTGCAGCCTAGAGAGCGTGTGTGGGCAGGTGTTTGTTTACCGCCATATGGCCAGGTGTGTATTTACCACCATATTTATCAACCATAAGTACAGCTGCAGTGGTGTCTTCAACTTCATTCGCCCGAGTCAAGCTCAGGATAAAGACAAACAAGAAGAAGATTGCCTGATGAGTCCAGCGGGGACGAAACGTACGTCGAAATCGAGCTATGTCGTTGCTGTGTCATCATCTATGTGCCATGCGCTACTTGATGTACCAGCCTGCTAAGCCGGATACCGCCAGCCATGCATCGACCAGGCGCCAGGAGCGAACTGATGGTGGTGGTGGTGAGAAGAAGAGCTCTGTGCCAGAATTTTGCAGCCTAGAGAGCGTGTGTGGGCAGGCGTGTGTTTACCGCCATATTGCCAGGTGTGTCTTTACCACCATATTTATCAACCATAAGTACAGCTGCAGTGGTGTCTTCAACTTCATTCGCCCGAGGCAAGCTCCGTATGAAGACATCCAAGAAGAAGATTGCCTGATGAGTCCAGTGGGGACGAAACGTACGTCGCAATCGAGCTATGTCGTTTCTGTGTCATCATCTATGTGCCATGCGCTACTTGATGTACCAGCCTGCTATGCCGGATACCGCCAGCCATGCGTAGACCAGGCGCCAGGCGCTAACTGATGGTGGTGGTGGTGAGAAGGAGAGCTCTGTGCCAGAACTTAACAGCCTAGAGAGCGTGTGTGGGCAGGCGTGTGTTTACCGCCATATTGCCAGGTGTGTATTTACCACCATATTTATCAACCATAAGTACAGCTGCAGTGGTGTCTTCAACTTCATTCGCCCGATATCGAATTATTTATTTTTTACAAATTTTGGTTTATTGCATTTCTCATTTTTCATTCATGTTGGGTTTAACTATTCACTGTACTGATACATGGTGACAATTGTGCTGTGATTTGCCCGTAAAAGAGGCCTTCCCGACAAAAAAATAAAAAAATACATAAATCACCAGGGAGAGTTGGCGAACTGGTGACTGCAAAGTTCAAAGGATTGTTTCGTGCTTCAGTAAAAATCTCAATGTCGATTCGCGCAGGTCAGTACTCGCAAGTCTCGAAACGATCCTAAATGTGTAATGATAGAGCTAAGAGCAAACGCCATTATTTTTTCACTTCGGGTTCGGGTCACACCTTTTTCCATACATAATGAGTTCTGCGTTCACCTTCCTGTGCTACATTCAGCACATCCTCCACGCCTTTTTCTTCGACTATGCTGCAATATAGCCTGTGCTTTAGCATCAAGAGGTTTTCTGATCTGTTATCCTAGGCCTGAACACCATAATAAATTATTTTAATTCCCGTAGCTATGCAGAAGACGTTACTTCAGTAAAGTCTGGCGCTAGCCAGGGTCCACACAGCTTTAATTTGGTGTTTGTTTGTGTGTTTGTTTGTGTCACGCCTGGCGCTATCTGTATCTGACGGCAAAAAAGCATAGGATGTTATAAATTTTTCAATTCTCCTTTTTTTCAGGCATATCCTGAGATTCGAACCCGCACTATCGCCCTACATGCATTCCCCCATACACTTCGCATTCATACCCATTCTTCCAAGTTGCTTTACGTTATTATCTTGCGTTTGAAAGCCCTATTTGAATATTGCGTGCAGCTGTATGTGGCCAGCTGTGTTTGATGGTACGGTATGGTACGGGAGACGGTGTCGTATTACCCTCGATCGTACCTGTCCCGTACCTATCCCCTACCGTACCGTGCCATCAAAGATGGCTGGCCACAATGCATATTCAAATAGGGCTTTCAAATGCAAGATCACAATGTGAAACAACTTGGAAGAATAAGTATGTATGCGAAGTGTATCGGGGGATGCATGCAGGGCGCGCGATAGTACGGGTTCGAATCCCAGGTTATGTCTTTAAAAAAAAAGGAATTTTTTAAAGAATTTATAACATCCCTATGCTTTTTTTTGTCTAGGTCATCGAGGCAAAAAAGCATTGCGTAGGGCCCTGAGCTTCCAAGCTCTCTCGTTCTGTACCATTTTGTGACGGGTTGAATTCTATAGAATCACTTCGGATTGTACCTGCTGATACCTCTTCCCTTGAGTTAAAATCACACTTTTGCAGCCTCAGATTTGTCTTTAGTTCCCGGAGGATCAGTCTAAACAATACCCCGTTGAAAGAAACACTTTTTCACTGAAAAAATTTCCGGCTAATCGATTATCAAACAGTCACTACAAACTAATTGTTGCCTAAGGTTCTGCAAAGTGTGCTTTGGGCAGAAGGAAAGCATTTAACACTTGCATACTTGTATTAATTTAGTCCCACAACCTGCGATAAAATGATCAGCTGTAGCACCTACTCCACTTTTATGTTTATGTATCTTGGTCATTCGGATCTTCCCAAGTTGTACATTGTACTGTTGAGATACTGATTTCAAATAAATCAATACCAAGCCTCCTATGTGCGTCTATGGGGCACTTATTAGCTCCACTAATTTTAATTGCATGAATTTTCACAACGAGAGAGCTTGGAAGCTCAGGGCCCTACGCTATGCTTTTTTGCCTACCTCATCGTACATGTTATTAAAACTGATGGAAATGTTTTTTTCCGTTGATTCGCCACATCATTGTATTGCAAAAACGTTTCGATCAGTTTAAATAAGAGTTAGGCAAAAGTATTTGTAGAATTTATTTCGGATTGTTATTTTTCTCTAATTTTATCCACTTTTGGTTTGCTCCTTCTTTTCTTTTTGAT